TATTAAAAAAAAGAACCTTGCCTACTGGATAAAGTCCGGAAGCGCTAAGGCATGAGACAAGTCTCTCTTTTCTTACTGTCAGGCGCACTGTGAGTTCCAGAAGGCAGAGCCTCTGTCTCCTGTTTCTCTGTATCCCCTACGGTATCCTGAATATGGTTTGTTCTCAGAAAAAGTATCTCATATTCATGATGTGAGAGGGCACCTCTGAGGCCGTCTGGTCCAAAGCTCTGACTTTCCAGGGGATAAAACAGAGGCCCAGAGATGGGAAGGGAATTGCTTAAGGTCATACATCTAGCTGTGGCTGCATTCCCTGCAAATCTAGAGCACCTGCGAGTTTATAAAGTGCTTTCACGTGTCCTCCTTACTTAATCCCAGCAGTAGCCCTAAGAGGTAGGCATAATTCTCTGGCTGTGCAGGCAAGGAAAGTAAAGCACACGCAGGTTGAAGATCACGCAGACCAAGATCACGCAGCTGCTGATGGCCTGTCCTCTGGTCAGAGGTCAGTACTCTCTTGACCATAGCTGGGCAGAATGTCAGGCACTGACTGGGTGTCAGTAAACATTTGTTGGATGAATTAACATGTACTTGAATGATAAGCCAATAGCCTCGCACAAGTGAGCAAACGTGTATGTACTGAGTGGACGGACAGGTGGTTGGATGGATCCTTAATTCCCGTCTGACACTTGACTCTCTTCTCTGTGATAACCTTTTAGGGGTGAAAGGTCACACCCGCTCGAGTCAAATGCAGTCAACGAGAGCCTTGCCAAGAGCAGACAGACGCGGAGTGTGGGTGTCTCATCAGTGCCTATCGATTGCAAACTGTCCAGCTGGTCCCCCTGGACCACGTGTGATCCCTGTCAGAAGAAAAGGGTAGGTACCCGGGCCTTGGGAGAGCCCTAAGCTTCCAGGAGCCCAAATACTCGGCAAGATCGGCTGAGGCACTGCTGACAGTGCCTGGATCCTAGTGGAATCTCGGTAAAGGTTGGCTGATTTAACTAATGGATTCGATTCCTCCGTGCTTCCAAGGAGCAATCCTTTCTCTGATCTTGCGGGTTTTTTCCAGGCATATCTGTCCTTGCTCCCATTAGCAGCTCCCTGATTAGGCTTCCCGCCTCCAACCCGGTTCTTTCAATCCGCCTTTCATGGTACAACCAGGGGAATTGTTGAAAATAAAGATCTGGCCTGTCTTTCCCTGGCTTGAAACCATTCAAAGTCTACACATGGCTTTTAGGATCAAGTCCAGGCTCATGGTACTCAGGGCGCCCCGTGACCTCGACCTGGCCTACATCCCCATAGAACAGCCCCGCCGCAGCACCCAGAATATGTGTACTTCTCTGCCCATTGCACACTCTCTCTGTGCCTGTATTCATGCTGCCTTCTCAGGCTGGGGTGGCCTTCCCACAGCCTTCACTGGCTAACACCTACTCATGATTGAAACTTTGCTCAGGGGCCACCTCTTCTGAGAAGCCTTCCCTGACTTCTCAGCCCCGCTTGCCCTTGGATAGACACCCTTCTATGAACTGCAGTAGCTCCTCCTTCCTTCTGCATCCTAGCACTTCTTACTGACCTTTCTCTTACTATTTGCCTCTCCATCATGCTGTGAGTGCTTAGACATGTATCCAACTCTACATCTTCAGTGTGTAGGCCAATTTCTGGCGTGTGAGAGGTACTCCGTAAATATCTGTGGTTTGATCTCATATCGTCTGACATCTCTTAAGGGAGGGAGGAGACTTGCTTCACTTTCTGTTAGGCAGATAGGTAAACAGAGACCCAGAGTAGATTTCTCGGCTTCACCTATTAGCAAACACAGACCTGGAACTCCGGCCACTGGCTTCTCATCTAGTGTTTTGCCAGTCAGAACACACAGTCTCTGATGTGTCTGTTCTCAAGCTTCTTTGTCACAGGAGGGCTGACCCGGAACCAGCTCCAGAACAGCATATGTGTCGAAGGAAAGAGAATGGTTCCCATTTCCCCAGCTCCTTGGGAAACCGAGCCAGCCAGGGCTAGGACCCTAAAGAGGCTGTGGAAGTAGGCCCAGGACAATTACACGCTTAATTGGATCAGTGCAGAGAGCCAAGCAGGCTCATTCAGCTCCCAAAGTAGGCTTTATTGCTGACGTTATCAACATTGATCCAGTTATCTGGATAATTGCTTCATCAGCACCATAAACCAGGAAGACTCAGCACCAGTCATCCATCCATCCTCTCACTCGGCCCGCAAGAGCTCTCAGAGTCTGCTACACAGTCTCCCTCGGTGGTCGTCATTGCTGCCTGCAGGGTCAGTGGCTGGGGGTTCATCAAAGCCCTTCCACTGGAATTGGAAGTTGTCTTTCACCATCATTTCTACACTCTTCAAAGCTGTTTTGTCTTCGGCGCCTGGGGCTTGCCTTCCAGCACCTCCTCTTCAGACCTGATCCCTGTCGGGCCAGCCTCTGCCTCCCAGGAAGAAAGGCTCCCTGGCAAAGCAAAGGCGCACGGGCGGATGGCGATCTGCTTCTTTTCTAGATTTCCAGGCGCCGTGCAGGCAGGAACTGGCTGGTTAACACGTCAGTCTGCAAAGGGGCTGCTATCCTGGTTGGCCTTCTTTGGTGGCACCAAAATCTTGACTGCAACTAGCATTTGGAAGCCACCCAAGTCTTATCACTTCCTTCTCTGATGTGGTTTCTCGTTGCCCCATAATGAAGGACTAAACCCAGCCTGATTGAGGCCCAGGAGGCCCTGCATCACCTGCTTCTGGCTACGATTCCTTCCTCTCGCCACTCTCCCTCTCCCCCGCTTCACTCCAGGCATGTGAGTTTCTTCCTGTTTCCTGGAACAAGGCACATTCTCTCTAGTTTCTCAGCTTTGGGGCAGCAGTTCCCTCCACCCGATCACTCTTCCCTCCCCTCGTCACACCAGCTCTCCATGTTTGCCTGACATTTCTGTTCATCCTTTGGGGCTCAGCCTAGATGTCACCTCACCGTCGCATTTGCCCGGGATTCCCCTGTGAGTTTACAGGGAACGTGGCACTTCCCCTACCACGGCACCAGCGCACTGTGTTGATGGCCTGGGGTAGAGCATCACCACCACCATCATCTGGGACCTCCTGGGGGGTGGCCCAGAGGGGGTGGTCATGACCAAGCACAGACCAGCACAGATAACACCTACCTTTTTCAACATTAGGTGACTCAATCAATATTTTGGTAATTCAATCAACATTTCTGGAATAAACAAACAGGAAGGTAGAGAGAGAGAAAGATTAACTGCTAAAATGTATTCATAATTAAAAAGAAAAAAAAGTCCAAGAAATTGAGTGCCTACTATGTACCAGACAACACAATTGAGATTTCATACATACATATGAAATATATATCATGTATATAATTGAAACTCCATAACTGTACTTTAAGGTAATTTATTATTAATAACTATTAATCATTAAATTAAATTAATTATTGTTAATTCATTATTAGATAATTCACTATCCCCATTTTATCAATTAGTATATTGAGGTCACAGCAGCTGAGTAACTTACCCAATAGCACGTGACTAGAGAATGTCAGGGTCAGTTGTGATTCCAAAGTACATGCTTTTGCATTTTAAGCTACTTGGTAAATGAGAAGACTTGAATCAGCCCATTGGATTCATCAAGCTGGGAGTCTGTGGTTTTGTGATACTGAACTGGCTCCCTTAGTCTACTTATGACCTTTTAACTCCAAAGCCCATTCTTTTCCCACATTCAGCAAATCTTTACTGAACCCTGCGGAGGCAGAGATCAGGGCCAAGGCCCCCGCCCTCGGAGAGCCCCCAGTCTAGTTGAAATAGGCAAACAGCCAATCGCAATAGAGATCCTTAAGCGTATCCCTCAGCCCCCCGGGGCCCCGGGGCCCCGAGGCTCTGGCCAGGGCTCACCGTGCCACTCTCTGCCACAGTACAGACACGCCTACCTGCTCCAGCCCTCTCAGTTCCATGGGGAACCATGCAGCTTCTCTGACAAGGAAGTCGAAGACTGTGTTTCCAACAGACCATGCAGAAGTCAAGTGCGATGTGAAGGCTTCGTGTGTGCGCAGACAGGTATACAGGGATGCAGGAATGGGAGGGGAGAGCCATTGAGTGAGGCTCGTGAAGATGGGAGGGCTGGCCACTGCCTAGTGTCCATGAAGGTCATGTGTCAGGCCAGAAGCCCTCCTTGTTCTCCTTGACCTCTTTTTACATGTATTATTTCATTTAAAAAAAAACCCTATAGAGCAGGTGTTACTATTATCCCCATTTCACAAACTGAGAAGTTGACACTTGGGGAAGTTACTTGCCCAAGATCATACAGCAGGTGAGCAGAGGGGCTGCAAATAAGAATTTGGGAATTCGGATTACGTTCACTGACATTGAGGACACCAGAGGTTATGTGCTAGAATCAGAAATCCTGAATTAAGTCAAATCTTAGTTTGATTGTGTGGTTTGGGAGAAGTCGCTTAACCTTTCTGCACATCAGTCCCCTCCACAGAAAATCGGAAGTGATGTTAGCACCTTGCAGGCTTGCTGATAAGCGCCAAGCGATGCAGCGGCCATGAACGCTCTTTGCAGGTGGTTAGCCCTGCAGCCTCTCTCAGAGACTTGGAGCTAAGTACAGTGGAGCAAAGCCTGCACCATTCAAACGGGGTGGTGAGTCAGCATCGCTCATCTCTGAAAGCTCTTTGGTGAGAAAGTCCCTTTCTCTTGCACGTCTGTATCACCAAGTTCAGCATAATCTCCAATACGTGATACAGTCAGTAAGACATTTTTGATTAAAGGAAGAAAGGGGAAGATAAGGGGCAGATGGATGGGCAGACAGAGGGAAGGAAGAGCACACAAATGAGTAATTACCAGCTGCAGAACTAAGTGAACACTTGTCCTTTGAAGTCATTTCTCCAGCGAATGCAGGCAAACATACACCTCTCTGCCTCTCCAAGGCTCCATCAAAAAGCTAAGAGTGTTCCGACCCAAATTACCCAGATGAGAGATGCAGTTCCTTATGTATGCTGTAACCATGTGGACTAGGCTTCAAGGTCTTTCCAGAAAGAATTAGGGATTCTTAGTGCAGTTTCTGGGGCTTATTGCAAATGTAAACCTCCATCTAATGAATCCGAAAGACTTTTACAGGGTGTCCGTGGACTCATTATGGCCAGTGTTCCATGATTCTGACCAAAGCCGTAACGGTTATTCAAGCAGAGTTTAGTTTAAATGCCTCGTAAGAAACGTTTGAAGACTTGATTGTTAACTCTTCTGCCATTCACGCCCCAAGAACCTTGGTTAAAAATGACCGGGCACATCTCAGAAAAAAAGGGTCACATATCTTATGAGCTTTACCCACCAAGAATCTACAAATAAGAAAGCAAGTCAAGTGGGTGGGGAGAAGTGGTTAAAGGAGGCGACAGTGCTGCAAGTAACTTTAAACATAGATTCCAGGGATTTCTATCATTTAAAAATGGCCCAGATAGCTGCGGTGTTGCAGGCAGTGTGGTTTAGTGGGGAGAATCTGCGATGAGAAAGCTCTAGGCTGGGGCAGTACAGCCGCCTGCCAGTACTTACCAGCCATGTGCATGGGGCCCATCAAAACGCAAGTAACAGCAGTAACAGTGCTTACCCAGCGCTGACCATGAGTCAGTACTGCTTCATGTATTCATGTCAACCCCCAGCAGCCACTGGGGGTTGGGGCGATGATGTCTCTATCTCACAGGTGGGTACACTGAGGCAGGGGCTCAGGTAACACGCGGACAGTCTCAGGACTAGTACTGTTTGCAGGACCCATCCAACCCACCTCCTCCCATCAGCCCCAAGCAGAGTGTTCAGACTTCCCGCCTGTCTGGCCGCTTGACCCCTGCCCAGAAGCCTCTTTTCCTTTCCGCATCCTTAATAATCTCCTCTCAAGGGCTTTCAGGAATACAACACTGGCCTCTTCGGGGTAAGAAACTAAATTCCATTACCCACCCACCCCAAATACATGAGGACTAATGCAAACAGAGCATTCAAGACACAGCGAAGTGTCTGGCCCACAGTAGGCCCCATACCATGTGAGTCCTCCCTCTTGCCGGCCTTGGGACCACGGCTGACAGCCTTTCTCCATCCCAGGGAGGTGTGTAAACCGCAGACTTCTTTGCAACGGGGACAACGACTGTGGAGACCAGTCAGATGAGGCGAACTGTAGAAGAGTATATAAAAAATGTCCGCAGGAGGTGGAGCAATACTGGGCCATTGGCAGCCTGGCCAGTGGGTGAGTGGCTGTCCTTCTGTTGCAGAGCTGGGAAGGCACACGACGGGATGTCATTCTGGAGGAGAGAGGGAGGTGGCTGATCTGCACAGAGTGGCTCCTGGTTTTCCTTTCTGAGAAAGGGTGGAGTGTAAGGGGTTGCCCGTGGCTGCTGTCTGAGGACAGTTGCTGAAGCTCCAGGAGTGTGTCCCGGATACACAGCCACAGGGAGGGCTGGCTCAGGAGCACTGAGGGCTGAGCTGTGCGTGGGGACCAGAGAGGCTCCCGCGAGGGCTGGCAGGAAGGTTTCTCTGACCCCTGCATTGTGACTGTGTTAGGTGCTTTCTGAGCACTACCTTCAGTGTGAGGGAGGTTTGAGCTGTTTCTCTATCCCGAGGCCCCAGGGTAGAGGCTGGCCCAGAGAAGAGGCTGCTAAGTCACCAGTCAGTGAAGAAGTGGGTTTCCCGCAGGGCCCACAGCCAGTCTGGGTTGCAAGCTTCTGGGGGTCTCCGAGTCCGTTCAATCCTCCGGCAAGGTGAGGAAGCAGGGTCAGAGGGGGTCACCCTGGCCCAGTGCTCACCCTACCTCCCTGCCTCCCTCTGCAGCCTCTCAGCCACCAGGGGCAGATTGAGAACCTCCCCTCACATGCCTGACAGGTCATCCTGTGAGATGCAGTGTGGGGAGGAGAGTGGCCCTGGATGGGGTTCACCTCCTTCCTAAACAAAAATCTGCTCTCCATCCTGAAAGGTTGTTATTAGAGACACAGGCTCCTGGTGTGGGGAAGGCCTCCACTCGGGACCACCTGATAAACTAGTTAACATAACCCCCACTCCTCAATAAGGAAACTGAGGCCTGGAAAACTGAGAGTTCCCAAGGGGCAGACGGCAAAGAGGGTGACAGAGTGGACACTTGGAGCCAGCAGCAGAGGTCGAGACCCTGCAAGAGGGGCAGAAGGACAGCTCACAGGCCACAGGGCCCCGCTGAGGCACCTGTCTGTGTGGTGCCTTAGTTTTGTCAGTTGTAGGCAGAAGTCCGTAAGACCCTTTCCCCAGTTCTGTGAGGACTGAATAAGCTGGTGTGATGGTAAGAAACTCGTGCATGAGGGGCAGCTTGTCGGGCGGGGATAAAGCAGCTTCTGTTCTTGAATTAGACTCTGACTTTGAGTCCTGGCCCCGCCACCTGCTGGCAGTGAGTCCTCGGGCAAGTGAGTTATCCTCTCTGGGCCTCACTTTCCTCATATGTTAAATGGGTATAAGGATTAAACCTCAGAGGGATTCAGTGAGCCAACATATGTCAATTGATTATTACAGCATTAAAGCAAATAAACGAATATACATTATTATGCTACAGGAAACCCTGTTATGCGAAGGAGGACCTAAGACAATTCTGGTAGGAACAGAACCGAGGCCAGCAGGCAGAAGCCGAAAGGAGAGAGAGCTCCTTTTAACAACAACAACAACAACAACAACAACAAAAAAAACCCAGAGCTGTCACTAATAATCGAAGCAGGTCAGGAGGGGAGGCCTGCCCTAGGAAGCGGTGACATACAATGTCTGAATAGAGACAGGATGTTCATCCTCTCTAAGCAGACGATGATTCTGTTGCCCAGGGCTTTGGGGACACTACGGAAGGTGATGCACTGAGCCACCTGCGACTGGTTCGGTTTCCAGTTGGACCCTCAGTAAATGGGAGTTAGGTTGGTGTCCTGTGATGGAGATCGTACAGAAATTAAAAGGAAGACCACCATCCCCAAGGAGCACGTCACCTGGGGAAGACAACAGACACATAAATAACAAGCCTCTAGTGTAGACCAAGCAGTGTTCTCAGCACCTAACAAATGTGGACACATTTTTGTTAAAATGTTCTAAGTGCTTAACAAACATGGACGCACATGAGCCTCATAACCATTCCAAGAGATAAGATTTTCTTTGTTCCCATTTTACAGATGAGGAGACTGTGGCGCAGAGAGGTTAGCTGCTGTGCCTGAGGTCACATAAATTGTAAATGGCAGAGCAGGGATTTGACCCTGGGCACCTGACTCCAGACTCCATGTTCTTACCTACTACGCTGGACCATTCTTGTAAGGCAGCTGCAATAATGCAGAACAGTAAATCCACGAATGGGGCAAGCACTGGGTCTCCCGAAGACCTCTAACCCAGCTTGGTGCCAGGGTCAGCGAAGGCTTCCCACAACCAGCAGTGACAGAGCTCAGTCTTGAAAGAGAAGTAAGAGGTAAAACAGTGACTGGCTGGAAGGGCATTTAGGCACAGGGAGCAGAGCAGACTGGAGGAAGAGCGGGCACCTCCAGATTGGGGCTGGGGTTGGGAGTAGCCAGAGATGAAGGCAGAAAGCTTTTAGCCGGACCTCCAGGGCCTTGAGTGCCGTGCCAAGGGCCGGTAGTGTCCTTTAGTAGGTCTCCCAGTCAGGATTACGCCTTCACCTCTTCCCCTTCTCCACACCTTCCTGCAGGATCAATTTGTTCATGAACAGCTTGGAGGGCCCGGTTCTCGATCACAGGTATTATGCCGGTGGCTGCTCCCCCCACTACATCCTCAACACAAGGTTTCGGAAGCCGTACAACGTGGAAAGCTTCACCCCAGAGGTACGTGCCAGCTGGGAGGCCACCGAGGGGCAAAGGCAGGACGACTGGCTGAGGGGCCAGGAGCGTGGGCCCGGGCCGCAGCCTGCCAGCAGGGCGAGCTGGGCTACCTCGCCTTTCCTCCCTGAGCTTCAGTTCTTCCTGTGTCACATGAGCAGTTCCTTCCCTGGGACGCAGTGGGGAGGCTGACATGCTGTGTCTCGTGAAGGCGGTACGTAAATGTCGGAGCAGCAGTTATACCAACAATGGTGTCCAAAGCCACCGTGAAGATAGACGCATAGCTTAGGATTTGGAGTCTTGCAGATGTGATGGCCCTGCAGCCTGTCGTCTCTGTCATCCTGAATGCTCTGAGCCTCCGTTTTCCTGCCTTTAAATTGGGACTTGTAAAGGTTCTACCTGCTGGGAGGGGATTAGCGAGATGACCTGAGCAAATGCTGGTACCAGGTTTAACAGCGAGCCCTCGGGAAGGGTTAACGCTTGTGATTGCCAAGTCCTTGCCTGCTAAAACGGGGCATCGTGCTAAGCGTTTGAGGTTATAAAATGCTGTACCAAGATCAGCCCGTGTGGTTAACACACAGACTCCAACGCAGTCTCGTGGAGAGTGGGGTTTAGAACAGACGATCTTACATGACAGTGCACCTGAAATCCGGGGGAAGGCCTGGGTGCCAGGCCTGGCTCTGCCACAGGTGCCAGTTTTGCTTAAGGCTAAGTTCCTGTTCCACTCTGGGCCTCAGTTTCCTCATCTGTAACATGGGAGGGCTGGCCTGGCAGACGTGGGTGGTGGTTTTCATTCTAACGTGGTGCAGTCCTGAAGGTCGGGCTTCTCCCCCTCCGCCCTCTCCCTCCCGCCTACCCCTCTCCCCGCACATACTTACTGGCTGAAAAAGACAGAATGAACCTAGGGACAGGCATGCCCTCCCCGGTTGGGGCCAGGGCCATCCCTGTAGCCTCCACTTGTAAGGGAGGAGCGCAGAGCAGCCGTTCATCATCCCGGTGGAAACGGCTCCTCAGGCAGGCGACGTAGATCTCAGTCTCCCCTCGCGGTAGCCAGTGTTCCTGAGCGCTGTGCCTGGTGGTGTGCAGCGTTCCGCCCACACAAACCCGACCCTTGGAACAAGCCCAATGGGAGGAGTCCATGTTGTCCCCATTTTGCACATGGAGAAGCTGAGGCCTTAGAAGTTTAACCCAGTGTCCAAAGTTACCCGACGAGAAAATGGTGCCTGCCGCCAGGCCCGCTTGGAATCACCTCTGCTGGTCTTCCTCAAAGCTGAGATGGAAGTGCAGACATCTGGAAGCCGATGGGACGGGGCCGGAGCCGACTGGGGACTGGTCACTGTGGAGCTACCCAGGCAACACCCTTGGCAGTTGCCCTGTGCACCGCATGAGCAAACAATTTTTGAGCAGACCGTTCCTCTAAGTTCTCAAAGGCGTCCCCTGTCGCTGCATCCCCACCGCACTGCCTCAGTCCAGCAGCTCTCCCCGCTGCCCTCCTCTTAGAGCCTCCTCATTGGCTTGTCTCTCTGACCCCATGTGCATCCTTGCTGACCTGACCGCTATCCCGTCCTATCGTGGACTTCTGGATACTCAGCTGCTTCCTCCGTTAGCTCGCCTTTGGCTTAAGTCCACGTTTCAGGGAGTAATCCCCAAGCCTCAGCAGCCGGATGCCAGCACGTCCTCTCACAACCGTTATCTCCCCCTCACTCTGGCATCTTCCGAGACCACCTCACTAGCATCCCCACAGTTTCTGGACTGCCCTCTGCCCTTTGCCCCTCCGCGCCTTTGCCTGCACCCAGTCCAAGCCCAGAGTGTTCTGTTGCGTTTCTCCCAGGGCACGGCCTGATCAAGTGCCCACCTCGAGTATCAGCCTGCACGTCTGTTTCTCTTGCTGGATCAGGAGCCCAGGGGTGGGGACATGGGCAGTTGTGTTTTCTATGTCCAGAGCACTTGCTCCGGTGTCTGGAACAGAGTCAGAGGACAGTGGGTATCTGGTGACTTAAATGGGACTGATGTGACTCAGATGAAATACAGACCATTTTTTTTTCTCTTCCTTCAGACCCAAGGCAAATATGAATTTGTGCTGACAGAATACGAATCATACTCAGATTTCGAACACAATGTCACAGAGACAAGCATTGGCCAGTCCAGTTTCTCCCTTGGTTTTAAAAAACCTGGCATATTTGAATTTGGCATTAGCAAAACCAGTGATACCGGCAAACATTTAATTAGCAGGATCAAACGATTCTCTCATACGGTCAGTATCCATTTTTGCTCTTTAAATAAATTTCTGTGTATTCATTTGAACTTTCATGTTCACGAATGTGCCTGTATTCTGTATTGCTCCGAGTTTTGGCAACTAATTGTATTTCTGTTACCTTGAAAAGCTTTTCGCAAAAAAATACCTTGGTCTTACACTAGCTTACTTTTTAGAAGGGCCAGGCAGCAGTGGCTTTCTGTAATTATTTACTGTCATTTTTGAATAAGCTTTTCCTTCCAGATTTCATTAAGCTGAGGATGGTCGCCTTGCCGGACTACCCATCTCTGGGAGACTTTTTGACCCCCGGCAATTTGACATCTGTTCCAAACATTCTGCTGAAATTCTGCTCCGGAATGTCCCCTAAGATGTTTCTCCAGCTCCTTGGGGCATTTAGTGACGCTGACCACACCATCACGTGTCTGTTTCTCTTGCCTGCTTTCTTCTCCTTCTCAGTTCCCTTCCTGGGTTCCGACAGTCCTACGCCTTCTTTATTCCATTTGTGGTCATCTTCCCTTCTTGCTCAGCAGCTGCCCCAGGCGACCTCTTCTGTGCACTCCCTCTCCTCTACAAGGGCGAGCCTGAGCCTGCACCGCTGCTCCTCTCCTTTCTGTTGAGCTCTGCCCTGCGCCTCCCTGGGCATCATTACCTGGATGCCTTGCGGACCCTCCAAAGCAAATTCCTCCTCCTGACTTCTCTGTGTTAAGTAGCATCCCTTGCCTTCCGTCTTTCCAGGCTGAGAATGTCAGAACCGTATCGGGCAGTCTTTTCTCTTCCTTTCCACACTTGCTGGCCACCAGATTCTTCAGTGTCACTCTGCAATACCTCTTCACCTAACTCTGATTCCATCTTAACCAGCCCCAGGCCCCTTCACCTCTCGCTCGATCCTCCTCAGGGGTCTCCTGTCTTCCAGCCTGCCCCTTCAAATGTATGTGCTGCCAGAAACATGTTTTTATGTTACTAATCTAATCATACCAGCGGCTCCCTGTTAGCCATAAGGTGACGGTCAAAGCCTGTGACTCAGCGGAAGAGGAGGAACGGGAGTGGGAAGGTAAGGGATGCAAGGCGGAGAACAGGTGACAGGCAGACTTGAGGAACCTTGGATTCCAGAGTGAATCAGGGGCGCTGATGCTCAGGTCTCTGAGAGTTGGCAACAGGGGTGTGATGTGGTAGACTAATCTCAGAGCAGCATGGAGGGAATGAAAATTATTAATAGTCTACAGCGATGTATGCGAGAAAAAAGGAGTGGTGAGGGGCCCGGGAAGGTCTCTGCTGCCAGAATATCAGCCAGTAGAGGACATGAGTGTTAAACATGAATTTGACTGTGATTGCCTTTGCTTACTTTTCTGTGTCTTCTCAGCTGTGAGCCCCTCGGGGACTGAGGCTGCTTCTGACATCTTTAGATTCAAGATGGCACTTGGTTGGTGCTCAAGGCTGAAATACAGTAAGGAATAGCAGGCGTGATTAAAAGGAACTTGCCTTGTCAGGAGAGAAAAGGAGAGGTCCCATGCAGTCACTGCCTCCCTTTCTCTCTCCTTTTCTCCTTCTCTGTATCCCTCCCTCCCACCTCCCTGATTCAGACAGCCAGCTCCAGAGTGTTTACACCGTGCTAGGCACTCAACTTGAGACTTGAAACCTGGAGACAAATATGACCTGATTCCTGCCTTCCAGCTCCCAGTCTAGTAGGAGAGGTCAACATGCACACATCTGGTATCAGTTATAAGACAGCATGGAATCTACAGTAAAGGAAGTTTAAGCAAACTGCAGTGCAGTCCTAGGACGTGGAGTGTGTGTCGGGGAAATTCAGGGATGGCGTCACATAGGCAGTCATGGCTAAGCAGGAATTTAAAATAAAAAAGTAGGTGTGTGTCAGGCAGAAATGGGAGGGAAGAGCCTTTCTGGCAGAAGGAATAAGATGTGTGAAATTATATTCCACAAGAGAAGGAAAGATGTGGGGAACAGGGAGACGCTGGATGAATGCTGACGTGTGGCGTGGGTGGTGGAAATAAGGTAGGGGGAGGAAGACCTTGAGATTGTAGAAGCTGAGGCCAGGAGGCTCATGGGGGACAGGTTGTGAAATTCCTACATCCCACTGAAGGGAATCCGTTTTATTTAGGAGGCAATTGAGAGCCATTGCAGGGGGTTATTTTCATCCCAGAGGGCTGTCGCAGTAATACTGTTGGAGTTGTAGGACATCCAGTCTGGTTGGAGCCCTGGGGACGGGCGAGGAGGAAGAGGGAGATCGGTGGGGAAGCTTTTATCATAACCCAAGCGGAAGATGAAACCTGAGTTTAGAAAAGTCATGATGAGAGCGCGTGTTGACTGCTTAGGTTGGAGGGGTCCTAGGAAGAAGGAAGAGGGTCTGAGTCACTGGGGTGGGACTAGGGTGGCCTGAGCGCAGGGCAGGGAGGGGGGCTGGCGTGGCCTACAGAGCTGACCTGTCAAACTGGTTGAGAATGTTAAGTTTAGGGAAGAATGCGCATGGCCCACAGGTTCCCCGCAAGGCAGGGTGGGATCCTCCGACCTTCAATTACAGGAATCCTCCTGGATGCGGGTCCTGCCTGGATCAAGTGTCACCATCTTTTGGTCTCTCCCTCACACCAGGGGTCGCCAGACTTTTTCTGTAAAGGGCCAGAGAGTAAATAGTTGAGGCTTTGCCAGGCTGTATGTTCTCTGTGGCAGCTGCTCAGCTCTGCCATTGGATGGGGACAGCAGCTCTGGACGGTGAGTCAGTACGGCTGTGCTGCGATGAAACTTGATTTACAAAACCAAGTAAGTGACACACTGGGCTCTGTGTGCCGGCTGTTGTCTGCGGACCCTTGCCAGGCACTACGATGTCTCACCTTCCTAAAGCACTGCTTTTACTCTTTCTTGAGTGGCCTTTCTTGGGAGTTTTAAAAAGCATCCACCAAGGAGTTGCCTTTGCCAGTCCGCAAACCCTGTCTCCCCTCGACGTGGTCCACGGGCATCTGTCTGCTGCTCCCTCCGTGTCTGCTTCTCCTTACCCTCCTTCTCATTCCTTATTTGCTACTGTAAGGCAGGGAGTCAAGAGGAGGCTCTTCCAAGCTGACAAGGACATCCGAATATTTATGAGAAATGAAGGCTCCTCAGAGAGGCCGTCTTCCCTCAGGCCTCCTACAGGAGCCATGAGTGACGACCCCAGGCCGAGAACGTCGGATGATATTTGTAAAGTTCATCTTTTCGTTTCAGATTCCTAAACTCAAAGGTCTGGTTTTCCCCTGTTGGTATTTCATTTAGAAAAGCTCGTTTCTGCACGCGCGCTCTGACCTTGAAGTCGCCCGGTACAAGCTGAAATCCAGAAGCCTCATGCTCCATTACGAGTTCCTTCAGCGAGTCAAGCAGCTGCCCCTGGAGTACGGCTACGGGGAGTACAGGGATCTCTTCCGCGATTTCGGGACCCACTACATCACAGAGGCCGTGCTCGGGGGCGTTTACGAGTACACGCTCGTGATGAACAAAGAGGCCATGGAGAGAAAGGGTGCGCTGCCCAGGCGACCTTTCTGATGGGGGTTGGAGGGGCACGTGGGAACTATGGGAGAGAGGCGTCTAGTCATTGTGGGGGAGGGATTATAAGTTAGTGCTCCCGGTTTCCCCTCTCCCTCCCTGGCTCTCCTTCCACAGTGTCATTTGCAGATTTCTCGTCCTTTTTCAAACTTACTGATGTTGGCCTTCCTCTGCCAGCCCTCTGTCTGGGCTGCCCTCCTTTCTACAATGACTCCCTCTCGACAGGAGCACGTAATCCCCTGGCTTTGAATGCCTTCAGCATGCAGATCGTTCCTGATCTATATATTTACCCTGGATCTCTTCTGTGCACCCACGAGCTCGTGTTGGAATGCCTCCTTGATATCTCCATTTGAATGTCTAATGACCACAGCAAACTTAACCTGCCCCCAGAGAGAGCTTTGCATGTTTCTTCCGTAGTCATCCATGTCTCAGAATGGTTCTGCCATTCAATCAGTCGTTCAAGCCAAAAACCTAGGAGTCACCATTAATGATTTTTCTCTCCTTCCCATCTATTAGCAAGTCACATCAGCTCTAACCCCACAAATTATATTTTCTCTTTACTGTTCCCATCTTCTGCTCACCCCAGGGCCAGTATTTCTCAAAATGTAGTGTGAATGTGAATTATCTGCACATCTTGTAAGAGGTAGATTCTCATTCAGCAAGTTTGAAATGAGACCCAAGGTTCTGCATTTCTGACGAGCTTTGAGGCGATACCAGTGCTGCTGGTCCACAGACCACACTTGGGGCTACACTGCCCCAGGTTATTATCTTAGCCTCCAAACTTATGTTCAACCCCCATTCGCCATGTGCCGTCCACTCTCCATACAGATGTACGGGTCTTTCCAGTGTAATCAACTTCAAGTCTAAGGTGTGAGTCCTGTTCCCAGTCTGGTCTTCTTTCCTACAACATGACACTTGTCAGATTAAACGACCTGCCCTGGGTCACACAGTTTACAGCAGCCGAGCCCAGGCTTGGTTACAAGTCCAGCGTACTTGCGAGAGGACACATGGTCCATGGTGTCCATTTAGGTTGGTGTAACCTCAGTCTTGCCAAGATCAAGGGTTCCGTCCTCTGTATTAGTGGTTTCAAAAGCACTTCCCCATGGTTCCTCCGATTGCATCCTGCAGAAGCGTTCTGGGATCAAGTTGGGGAAACATATAACAGATCCCACTTGCAGAGCTTCGCAGGCATACTGAAACACGACGCTCCACCTCTTCTGATGCAACGTTTGTCGCACTGGCTTGACCGCAGGAGCCTGGCTTCTTGTAACACTTGGGCTATTCTGAGAATTAGAAGAGGTATCATCCTGGGAATTGTGTTGCAAGGAACACGCTTTGGGGAAAACTGATCTACACCAATAACTTCTAGACAATCCCAGGTGTCAGAGCTGCCCTCCCCGCCTTTCCCTGACCTCAAAGTGCTACAGAGGGCTCCAGCAAGCCCAGGGCAGCATGATGCCCTGTGGAGAATGAAAGAGGAACAGATGAAAAAGGAACGAGGGAAATCAGTCCCTTCTCTTTGTCAGGCGCTGTACCAGATGCTTCGTAAGCATTCCTTCAACTAATCAAATAACAAGCTCTTTCTACCATAGCAAAGAGTGGAGAAGGGAGGGTCGGGGCACGCGGGACAGACTGCAGCAGCCTCTGCTCACTGGACCAATCCCGAGAGACTTGCTGAGGAGGCACAGTTTTAGAAAGCGACTCCGAGTACGTCCTCTCCTCAGAGAGCTGCAAAAGCCCTCGGAGGCTTTGAAGAGGCTGCGAGGGGCAGTCAGTGCTGATCTCTGATGGGGTCTCTGCCCTGCTGCCAGCAGCTGCCTGGCATTTCTTGTCCCCAGGCTAGCCACCCATCAGTTTATACCTGAGCCCCTGTGGGGCCCCATGACCTCCAGGAAGGGTTAGGGCTCCAGAATCGATCACCAGAAAAGGCACAGGACAAATTCCCTTCGAGGCTATGAGCCTCTTTTCTTGCTTCCTTCAGGTTACTCCCTTAGGGATGTCCAGGAGTGTGCCAAAAATGGTTTTAAAATCGGTGGCGCCATCCAAAACGTCTACGTCAGTCTGGACGTGTCGGTGGGCAAGTGCAAGGGCGTTCTGAGTGAGATCGAAGGTGAGTGGCGGGGGCACGGGAACCTCTCTGCTTATTGTCCTTCCCTCTCTAGCACCCTGGACCCAGTCTCTCTTTAAGCAAACGGCTGCAGATGCCAAGGCATTTCAATTAAAATGATCGTTCATGCAACAAAAGGCTACCTTGCTGCTCCTCTGTGCAGGGCATGCAGAGATGAGTGAGATGCTCTTCCTGTCCTCACGGTGCTCACGTGAGGTAGGCAAACAATGAAAGAAGTAAGGACAAGGCAGTGATAAGCACCAGGCCCAGCCTAGGGCCCCAGGACGAGGCTCATTTGAACTGCAACGTGAGGAGTAAAGTATCCAGGTTGCTTTTAGGGAAAAAAAAAAAATCTAATGTTCAGAATTGACTCCGGGGGCTGGGAGTTGGTCTGGCTAGCGGTAGGCTGCTCTAGGCTAGAGGGGTAGGAGCCAGGTGGAGGCAGTGAGGCAAGCCATATGGAGACTTAGCAGAGCAGGCAAAGCCACGAATCATGGAGCAGAGTCCATGTGACAGGAGAGACCGGGAGGTGGGAACTGAATCCCAGGTATCTGGGAGCAGAGAACTTGGGGGCCGTGCAAGGGAGTTGGGAATCAAACTAGTGAGTGGATTATGCCAGAGTGGCTGATCAGCAGGACGCCAGTCCCTCATCCCTTCTGCACCCTGAGCAGCTCTCCTCCATCTGTTCTACTTACTCAGCTGGTGCCTGGGATCATAAGTGAATGAGCACATCCATGGCCAAAGCAAAGCAAAGTAAAATAACAAGAAAAATGAACTCCTGGTCTGGAGCAGGAAGAAAGCGTTCCTGCGCTCGTGGCTGCGCTTGTGGCTGATGTGGGGTGACTGACGTGGGGTAGATACTGTTGCTTTTGTTTGTTTATCTTAGTGGGCTCAGTTAGAAGAGGCATCCTGCTAAGGCGGCGTGCATAGAATTAGAGGTCCTCTTTAAGGAAGACTTGTTACTTAATCCCCATCCAGGGTACTAGATAGAGCATCACCCTACACCCCAAGAACCTTGCCAGTCACAACTCCTCTCTCCCTTTTGGGTACACCCTGACTTCTGTGTTAAACATGGCCTTCCTTTCGTGGTAGTTCTACCAACCAATGTGGCTCAGGGCTGCTTGTTTTTGAACTTTATATGGATGGAATGTAATCTTTTTAGTTCTGTTTCGTTTCTTTTTTTTCATTCGAGATTGTGTTTTTGTTTATAACTATAGTTAGATCATTTCCACTGCTGCATAGTTGTTTATTGTATGAACAGAACACTTTGTTCCTTCTGTTGTTAAATTGGGGTGATTTCCCCCAATGTGATTTTCCGTGTCAAGCAATTATAATCAATGCTGCTGTGAACATTCTTACATAGTCCTCTGGTGCACACGTGCAAGGGGTTCTCCAGGGAATATACCCAGGAGTGGAATTGTTAGATTGTAGAACATGTGCTTTTTCTACACTAGGTAATGCCAAGTGGTTTCTGAATTGCTTGTACCAACTTAGACTCCTGCCAGTAGGACACAAGACCCCTTTTTTATGATGCTCAGGTGTTGTAGGCTCAGAGCAGAGCAGTCACTTTACACCAGTCCCTTTGGCATTGGGCACACTGACAAATTCGAATAGGAATGATTCACTGGTATGATTGAGGGCTTTCTGCGAAATCCCATGAAGTCAAAATGGTAATGACTTTACAGTAGACACTGTTCAGTATCTTCTACATGCCATGCTCAGCCTTTACATATTTTCCCACCTTTGTCATCCGAGACAAAGAAGTGATACAGCTTAGGGCTTGGGCAGGGCTGGGTGCATAAATTCCTTTACCCCTAGTACGTAAGATTTCTTATCTGCAAGGTAAGGATTATATTCCTATTTTATAGTGAAGATTAGGTGAGTTAATACATGGTCAACACTTCGATTATTATCTATCTATCTACCAATCTATTTATTATGATCTTTTAATCTGTCCCTATGAATGTACATATATATGTATGTATGCATCAGCTGTCCATCTTCTGTAGACTCACTTAGCGACTAGCACTTACAGACGCTCAAAACAAATGTCCCTTTCTTGTCCTGTCCCCAGCTTGTGTCATATGTGTTTGAGGGAGCTGCCCTTTTTGCCCCTTGCACCGTGACTCCCTTGTTGACAGGGATTCGTCTTGTCCACCCACGTCTCCAGGGCGAGCTCAAGGAGTATTAAGGCAACCGGGTTGTCAGTGGGTTGCGATAAATTCCAAGGTGCGAAAATGGATCCCCTGACATGCCAAGTCTCCGTGTCCATTCCAGGCAGAAACAAGAGAGACACCATGGTGAAAGATTTGGTGGTCCTCGTGCGAGGAGGGGCGAGTGAGCACATCACTGCCCTGGCCTACAAGGAGCTACCTACAGCCGACCTGATGCAGGAGTGGGGAGACGCAGTGCAGTACAACCCGGACATCATCAAAATTAAGGTACATGCACCCGCCCTTACTCATCCTTCCCTCTATTCCGAAAACAGCTTCTGAGGGGCTGCTCTGAGCCCAGGGTACAGAATACAGAACTCAGTAAGACCCAAGCCCTCATCTTGAGGCACATACATTATGGTGGAAAATATATATCTGGAGTGAACCAATTATAACACACTGCTCAGCACAGCTAGAGAGCCCTGACTCCCTCTCATTTGGGCCCCAAGCTACTAAAGGAAATGAACTGCCAGCTGCTAATTCCAGCCTTCTTAAATTAATATTGTTTCCATTTCATCAGAGAATCACTCATTCCATTATTTGTTCACTTAAACATTCATTCCTGCAACCAACAAACAGCTGCTAAATTCCTGTGATGTGACAGGAACTAAGGCACTGGGGGAACACAGAGGAGGATGCAAGGATGAAAAATACAGTCTGTGCTGAACAGCGAGATACATACTTGCAACTGTCATACAGCACAGCACAAGATGTCACACTAATCACGAACATGTTTTGGGCACCTACTCTATTCATGATACTCTGCCAGGGACTTTGGGAATGTTGTTTCATCTAATCTTAACAAGTCTGCACATTAAGTATGCTTATCTCCATTTTGTGGCAGATGAAAATCAAGGTCACAGAGATTGTGTCCATCTGTGGCTGCTCAGGAGTCTTAAGACCTTAAGAATTTGACCTCTTCCCTCCCCTCCAGACTCTCCTGTGGGTTTGATAAATAAGAAATAATGATCCCAACCACCTGTCACCCAAACAAGAGCAGTTTTGCAAACTTAAACTAAAAAGACACTTGCTAGACCAAGACTGTCACGCACACATCAGCGGCAGTTGGTCCTTGCCTGTGGGGACTTGAGCACGGCGTCTGTGTCACATCGTACACTGTTCTCTCCTTGCCATTGTCTGTAAGTCATTGATGGTCCAGCATCTACCCTCTGGAGATGTATTCCCACAGCCACACAGGGGAGTTGAGGAGCTGGAGCTCTGATGGGAGGCTGTGCACTTCCTGACCCTGGCAATTTCTTACAGTGTCTTTGTCTGTCAGTCAAATGCAGAGTTCCTGCAGAACAAGAAGGCTGCCACCCACATCCTTTCCTCTGCCACTTATTCAGTAGTGACACTCAGGGTACAGTTGCTGGCAAGCATCAAGAAGGGTATGCAGGCAGCTCCAGAGAAATCTGGGATTGGCTGGTGGCCTGGTGACATTGGTTGGTATCCCAGACAGGCAGGGGAGAGGACACAGTTCATGGGAAAACAGATACTGGTCTTTGCTTTCTGCTCGTATCTTATGTGAATCTTTTTTTTTTTTTTAACTTAGAGTTAATAGATTGCCCTGGTTACCTCTCTAAGTAGGTTGGCTGTGCCAGTCTGGGCACTGGGTATGTCTAGTGTCAAATAGCATGTGATATGATGTGTGTGTGTGTGTGTGTGTGTGTGTGTGTTTGTGTAAGAGAGAGAGAGAGAAAGAGAGAGAAGGTGCACGGTAGTGCGCTAAGCATCTCAGACCGGCCTGCCCGCATCCTCAGAGGGGTAGCACTTCACTGACTGCACAGAGGCTTCCCAGCACGTATGTGATGTAGTGGGAAGTATCACATCCACTGCCAGTGTAGTGCTGTGAAGGGTGTGTGGGCTGAAATGGGAAAGAGATAAGAGAATCAGAGATCTTTTCAGGAGTTGGGGAGGTGAATTTGCCGGAGGTGTTTACCCACGTCCTCAGTACATCCCTAACCTGAGTTGGAAGCAGACACTGTGGGCCTCTTACTCATCCTGTGCTCTTTGTGACAAGAGAAAACTGCAGATGACCTCACATTAGGTCAGAATAATTCTCTGCTGAGTCAGCTTACCGGGTAGTTGGAGCAGCAGTTGCTTTTAGGAGAGAGAGAGAGACCACTAGGTAAGGAATCTCTAGACCCAGAGTGGTGGCCAAGGCTTGTGTACGTAAACTAGTCTTGAAGGTCAAGATCTGAAAACATAATTCCTGTGGGAGCCAGGGAGGCAGGGAGGAAGACCACAGAAGAGCCCGTTCACACTGTTGACTGGTAAACTTTAGCTGCAGAGAGATGACTCTGTTCCAAGAAAAGGTAAGAAAAAGCAATGGATACGTAAAGAAAATTTTGAACACAGAAGATGGAAGTTACTTTCAGGACAAAGAAGACAAGCATACATCTAGAAACAGAAGTAAATTTTAGAATGCGTTTGCTTTGTGATTATAATAAAATTCAAGAAAATAAGGAATTTATGAAATAAACAATAGAAACTGAGATGTTTAGACATGAATCAGATGAAAAGGGATGGCTGAACACAGAAAACCAAACGCACAATAGTAGAATTAAAACCTACATGGGAAACTATAAAGAACAGAATTGACGCTGCAGAAAATTGAGTCAGTGATGTGGAAGGTGCTATAAAAATGTTGCTGTAATGCAGAAGCAAAAGACAAGGAGGTTAAGACAATGACATAGAAGAAATATGATGGCCAGAGAGTACAGAAGTGGAAATCTAAAACCCAGAGACTTCTAAGAACGAGATCAGATTAAATGTAAAGATGCATTCACCAAGCGCATAACAAGGGGAACTTCCCCAGGCTGATAATGCAAAATGAACAGCTCATTGAAAAGTGGGTTAAAGTCTGGAAGATAAAACAATACTGAAATACCTTGTGGTGAAACATTTTACTTGGAGGAAGGAATAGATCATACAAAAATAAAAGACGTCCTGGTCTTAGAATTCATCGCAATGCTAGATGCCTGAAGATAATGGAGTGACGACCATGTGGTCTCGGAGGAAAAGGCTTGTGGCTCAGTGAAATGGGCATCAATGGATGGAAAAAAATCCCAAAGACACTCCAAGATATTAAAGGAGTCACGTAGAGGGTTGCCAGATTTAGTACACGAAAATTGTAGGATGTCCAGTTAAATCTGAACTTCAGACAGATAAGAATATGTTTGACATACACAGTTAAATCCTCTTCCTAAAGGGTTGTACCGATTTATATTCCTATTTCATTTTATAAAAATTCCCATCTCATCACTCCCAAAGACATTTCATATTACAGATTTTTAATCACTTATACCACTTTTTTAGTATAAGCATTTTTCAAATATTTCATGGAACAGGCTTACACTAAAAAACTATTTGCTGTTTATCTGAAATTTAACTTTAATTGGGCATTCTGTATGTGACTGGCAACCCCAGTCACAAAGTCTATCATCCGTGTACCTTTCTGTAGTGGTCGGGGTGGCTAGGTTGTGATCTGGGACCCAGGCTGATGGAGAAGCCAAATGTAGATCATACGTAGACGGGAAAAATACAGTAATGAGTGGTTCTCCTTGAGGTCAGGAGAGCCTGGGTTGCAGTGAAGCGAACCGCAAATCTCAGAGACTTCGTACAACAAACATTTATCGCTCAATCATACAACATATCCACAGTTTACTGGCAAGGGGACTTTTCTTGGTGTCACTCAGGGATCCAGGCAGTGGAGGCTTCATCTTGTCATGTGCTCCCAAGATCACCACAGCAGTGTAAGTGTCACTACCTCGCTCTGCTCTGAAAGCTTCAACTTGGAAGCGATGCTCCGTCTGCTCTCCGTTCCTTGCTCCAAAGAAGTCAACCTGCCCTTAAGGATGGTTGAGGGAGATGCAGCCCTGCCGAGTGTCCAGAAGGCAAAGAAGCTGATGTATTTGGTAAACAGTGATAACAGCCATCACACCTCATTCAAGCAACTTATTCAAACATTTTCTAAAAACAAATTACTCTGATCGAGAGGTTTAAAATATAGACACGGTGGTGGCATCACCTGGTAAAATAATGTCAGACTTTGACTTCTGGATCTCACTCGAAAAATAGATTCTGAATTTCAAATAAGGAGACCATAAATATAATGAAATGGGTGATAACACAACAACAAAATAATGTTGCCACAAATTAAATCTTTAATGTGTGAGGAATGATGCAATTTAGAAGAAACACGTCTGAAAGGACATGTGACGACTCTCAGAAGAACTCAGAATTTTAACTTCTCTAGGAATAAAAATGAAAATTAAAGTAGCAATGCAATATTATTTTTTACCTATCAAATTGGCAGTGATTAAAAATCTATCATACGCGACGTCTTTGGGAGTGATGAGATGGGGATTTTTATAAAATGAAATAGGAATATAAATTGGTACAACCCTTTAGGAAGAGGATTTAACTGTATATGTCAAACACATTAAAAATGCTTATAGGTTTTGATCCGATAACCCTAAATGCAAGAATCAACTAAAGAAATCATTTTAAAAGTTGGTAAAGTTGTTTCTATGAGGGGAGGGTAGAGCTCAGCGGTAGAGCGCATGCTTAGCACGTACACGCAAGGTCCTGGGTTCATTCCTCAGTACCTCCATTAAAAAAAAAGATTTATCTATAAAGACATGCCTTATTTTACATTACCATAGTCCCCTCTTATCCGGAGTTTTGCTTCTGCAATTTCAGTTACCCACGGTCAACTGTGGTCTAAAAGTATTAAGTGGAAAACTCCAGAAATAAATAATCTATAAGTTTTTAATTGCATGCCATTCTGAGTAGTGTGATGAAACCTCACACTGTCCCACTCCATCCCCACCTGGGATGCCCAACCATCGACATCATTTGCTCCTGACATCCAACCATTGACATGGTGCTGGCTCAGTGATCTAGGGCCACCGGGGGCAGATGGTCCTCCTTGTGATGTATCATCAGAGGTCGGCAGTAGCCTAACTCTGGGTCACAGTGCCTGTCATTCACCTCACTACATCTCATCACAGAAGCCCTTTATCATCTCATGTCATCCCAAGTAGAAGGTAAGTTCAGTGCAATCAGATATTTTGAGAGAGAGAGCACATTCGTGTAACTTTTATTACAGTATATTGTCATAATTTGTTCTATTTTATTAGTGAATTAGCAATGCTAATCTCTTGCTATGCCTGATTTATAAATTAAACTTTATGTATGTATGTATGTATAGAAAAAAAGTAGTATATGGCGAGTTTGGTACTATTCATGGTTTTGACACAGGAAAATGGGACGCGAGAGCATGGCTGTGTGGGACACACCCCATCAAGGGAGGGGCCTTGGCTTCCTGCAGGAAAGAATTCAAGAGCGAGCCATAGTAGAGTGAAGGTGGATTTATTCAGAGAAACACACTCCATAGACAGTGCAGGCTGTCTCAGAAGGTCTCAGAAGGCCAGAGAGCAGCCATGAAGTGCAGAGTTGTTTTTTGTGGACTGGGCAACTTCATATGCTACCAAGTGGGAGGATTATTCCAACTACTTTGGGGAAGGGGCTGGGAGTCCCAGGAATTGAGTCATCACCCACTTTTTGACCTCTTATGGTCAGCCTTGAAACTGTCCTGGCGCCTGTGGGTGTGTCACTTAGCATGCTCATGCATTACGGTGCGTGTATAATGAGCCTCACGGTCTACTGGGAGTCGAGTCTTCCGCCATCTTGGTGCTAATTGCTGTCACTCTTTTGATGACTCTGCCCTGCCCTGTTCCCTCCTGTCTCCGTTTAGAGCATCCACTGGGGGTCTTGGAACATATTCCCTGATGATGGGGGAAGAATGTCATATCTGTAGTAGCAAAAGAGAAAAGAAAAAAGGAAACAACCGAAAGATTCAGTAACAGGGGTAGAGTTGAATACACTGTAGTTCCTCAATACAACAGGATACTGTGCAGCCATAACAAGTCATTTTATCAAGGAATATTGAATGCCATGGGAAATGCTCATAATATGATGTTAAGTAAAAAAAAAAGTGGAATGTAAAATTGCACTTTCCTTATGCCACTAATTTGATGTAAACATCTGTCCATCTACCTATCCAAAAATACGTACTGAAAGGCACAAACCACGATGGTAACAATTCAAGTCTTCTGCCACTTACTGGCTGTGACTCTGGTCAATCTATTTAACTTTTCTGTGCCTCGGCTTTGCCATCTGTAAAGTGGGGATACAGAAGTCTACCTGACATGTAAGATTGCTGTGAAGATTGAGTTAGATAATGTACATATTTAATTCACCTAATAAATGCCAGCTATGGCAATAATTATTTCTTGTCATTAGGAAGGGCAGTCACCAGGGTCCATCACAGAGAACTGCATGGAGTTTAATAGCCAGCACTCACCATCCCTGTGCAGCAGTATGCTAAATAGAATTTTCACAAGGGCAGGCATGCTAAGGACCCAGTGATCAATGTGAGTAGTTAGGATGGTGTGTTTGGGGAGAGAAGGGGAAGAAAGAGGAAGGAAAAGGGGAAAAGAGAGGGAGGGAGGAAGAAGAGGACAAAAGAGAGAGAAAAAAAAGGTGGGGAAAAAAGGACCCGCAAACCAAAAAAGAGGATAAATGAGCCACATTATGTTAAAGAGGGAGCTGTGGAGGGAATCCTGAGGAATTGCTGCTGAGTTCCAAGGCAAACCATCATGGAGAATCTGGGGGTAGAGGTTGGAAATGGGAATAATCAAGCCATTTTTATCGACAGTCATCACGAACTAGTAGGAAAAAGACAGATTCGGGGTTAGAATCCTGGCAATGCTATTTCCTGAGTTCTCTGACTTTGTCACGTTGCTTAACCTCACCTGAAACAGGGCTAGTAATTGCCACCTTGTGAGGATGGAGTGGAAACCGCCTGGAGCTGAATATACGGAAGGTTTATTCCAGTTCTGCCGCTGACTTGCTCCATCTCCTGGAGCAGATCTCAGTAGCGGTGGGAAAATGCCTGGGTGGTTAAAGGCAGCCTTCCAAGGTGCTCTGGCAGGGAAAACAGGCTGCTGGAGGGGCACATTGTGGGCGTACAGTACCCCCCACTTACCCCCGTCCCCCCAGGTGGGGCCAGCAGCCTGGACCTTTCTGCAAACAGCCTCTGGATCAATTCATTGACCACAAAACGGTGAGACAATGGGACCACCCAGGGGCCTTGCTTGGCCCACTGGAGTGAAGGTCAGCATCAGATGCATTAAGAAATGGAAGCAATTTTCTTCCTACAGGAGGCTTCTATTAGGCATGATTGCCTGCATTTAGACAGACCCTAAACCCTCCAGGGCTGGATTAGGGCAAGATCACAAACAAAATCTGGAGAGGAACCTGGCCCTGGAGCTGAAACCAGAGCCAAGGGGCTCTGAATGTGTTTGACGACCCCTGTGGACTTTTCCTCAGTCCAGTCTGAGCCCAGAAATACAACCACGTCCGTTGTTGGATTCCTCCGGCATCACTCTTTCTGCGCCCACGTTTCTGGTCTCCACACCCTCGCCTCTGTGCCTGGTGCCCTAATGAGGCCTCCCCTCCCCATGTTCAGTCTTCCATCCACTTCTGTTAGCAGCGCTCACTAAGCCTGGGGCTGGGCCCTGGAGGCAGCTGAGCAGGATGTAGGTCTGATCTCCACGAGCTTACAGTCTAGTAAAGAGGAGAAGGAAAGGAGACTGCAACACAAAACAGTTACCACCAAGGAGCAGAGAGGGAGAATTTGCATCGGATGAGTGGTGTAAGTATTCTGAGGGTTTCCTGGTGGGAAGCTGTTCTGTGAGCCTGGAGCTCAGGGAGGGCTCCCTGAAGGTGGCTCTTGCATGACCTGAAGGTTTTTCACTGATTTAGGGGGCGATGTGATGTTGGGTCAATGCTCCCAGAATACTTTAGTTTAATTTTATTTTTTTTATTGAAGTGTCGTTGATTTACAATGTTAGTTTCAGGTGTACAGCAAAGCGATTCACTTATGCATTCATATATATTTTTTCTAGTAGCACAGGGAACTATATTCAATTTCTTGTAATAACATATAATGGAAAAGAATCTGAAATATATATATATATATATATCTCCATAATACTTTCAAAGAGCTGCTTGAAAATCAACTCCTGTCCCCCACCGAGGACAGATTAACCACCTGCTCCTCTCTGCCCATCACAAGTTTCCAGTTACCTGTAACCACTGTGCTGTAAGTATCCGTTAGTACTTTTGTCTCCGTCTCTTGATTCTGAGTTTTCGGAGAGAGGGGATATTATCTTAATCATTACTGATGCTTCATGCCTGACACTCAGAAGCTGCTCAGCAAGCGTTTGTTGGCCTGAACTTGAAAGAGCGTATTTGTGATGCTGGGTGGGGTGGGAAAGAGAGAGGACAGGCACCCGCGCAGCTGCATATGAATCCACTGTGGTCTGTGGACCCTGCCCGTTCCTGCGGAGCCTGGCTTCACGCTTCTATCTGATGAGCGTTTTCTGTTGAAATGAACGCCTTTGCTCCCTCCCCAGGCAGAGCCTCTGTACGAGCTGGTGACAGCTGCGGACTTCGCCTATTCCAGCACAGTGAAGCAGAACATGAAGCGGGCCCTGGAGGAGTTCCAGAAGGAATTCAGCTCCTGCCACTGTGCTCCCTGCCAAGGGAATGGAGTCCCGGTCCTGAAAGGTACCAGTGCCAGGCTGCCATGGGTGACATTGTCTGGAGGGGCTGCTTCTGGGGTCAGGACAAATCCACAAGCCCTCCAGACTATCTCCTGGGGAGTTTCTAAATCGAGCCAGTCCTCTGCCTTAGGCCGCAGTGACTGTCATAAAGTTCTCTTCATTTTTTTCAGGGGGAGAAAGAGCCCCCTGGCCACGTGGAGCCTCTGAAAGCTGAGCCTCTCCACCCTGATTGGGCATTAGAACCACCTGAGATCTTTAGAACTACTGATACTCAGGCCCCACCCTTGATCATTACTTGAGGCTCTCATTCTCAGGATGGTTAAACCCTTTCCAGGTAGTTCTAATCAGCAACGAGAGTGTGACTTCCTCTTACTAAAATGCCCACCTCCTCAGAGCACAGCGCCGTAGGATTGGACCAAGGAGACCCCTGCACTCAGGAGCAGCCCATGGCAAAGTGCACGAGGCTCCTCTCGGGCTGCCTGTGAGATCGCTCAGGGAGATTTTCACAAACAAATCCCTGAGCCTCAGCCCAAAATAATTAAAGCGAATCACTGGGATTGGCCTTTGAAGGAGCCTACCAGATGATTCGTTGCAGAGTGTGGGCTGGGAAGCTGTTCCACAGCTGAATTCAGTGGCAGGCAGGATCCATGACTGCAGGCTTTTAGACTAGCGGGAGAGCCAGGTTTGACCCAAGAGCCGCGTTGAGACGTACCAGTGTTCGTCCATCTCCCAGGAAGTCAGAATGCAGGCAACTGGGACACGCTGCTCTGGCTGCCGGGATACTTAGGTTCCAGCCACAAGGGACACGTGGGTAACGGCAGCGTTAAACTGAAGGCAGGAGCAGGCTGAGACTGGTCTGTAACAAGGAGTGGGGATGAACTCCGGGACTCTTTCCTGTTCAAAGAAGGGGCCCTGCCTGGGCTGAGCACCTTTGTGCATATCCTGATCAATACATGGTGAGAAAACTGGGGCAGTGGGAGGTGGCGGCCTGGGTGGGCCACTAGAACTTGATTGCTGATTTTGAGGGTCGCATTTGGGGTCACTGCAGTGGGCAAGGCAAACCTGGGGGTGCTGGGGCCTGGGCTCATCGGCTCCTGTTGTGCTGGGCTGAGAAAGAGTCCAGTCCAGCGTGATACCGAGATAGGGTGTCAGGAGCAGCTGGGTGTAGGAGATGCCAGCCCAGGGAACCAGCTGGACTCCAGGCAGAACCCAGGTGGTGGAGCAAACTCAACAGAGGGGACATAAGAGAAGACTTCTCAGGGAGAAAGATTCCACCTGCCCAGCTGACATGGAGGGGTGCTGTCTAGCTTCTCGGACGGGACAGAGAGGAGCACAGGAGATGTAAGAGCCTCAGGATGGGAGGTTCCGCCTCCAGGACCAGGACCTGCAAGCGAGGGTCAGTAAAGCAGGAAACGAGGTTGGTTCACCAGCTCCAGGTTTTGGTCGAGGGTTACTGAAATCCCCCTCATCTGTGTGGAATTTGGACCTAGAGAGTGAGGCCCGCTGAGGCTCTACTCTGGAGGTAAGGGAGAATGTGAAGCCAGAGCCTGGGAATGCCCATAGCGCCTGGCCTGTAAAGGGCAATCCTGGAAAGAGATGGATGTGATCCAGAGGAGAGAAGCTCCAGGATGACATGTTACAGATTAACACAAAGAATAACTTTCAAAGTGTCAGAACTGGCCAGAGGTGGGAGGAGACAGCTAAGGGTAGTGAGTTCCCCATCACCAGAGGTGTTCAAGCAGAGACTAGACAATTACTTTGTGGTGAAATTGAGCATCAGTGACCACTGACCCCAGGAACCTGAGTCATGTAGTCTCTGACCTCCAAAAACTGAGGTCTAGGTCAAAAGTATGTTGAGAATTATTTTTCTCAGCAACTCCTTGTCATCCCTCATGGGTGGTGGAGTAAACACCCTTTCATGAGCAAAGGATCCCTTAGAATAGAGTAGGGATTCTTGGCACAGAACCTTCTTATTTCAAATCATTCAACTAAACCTTTGCCCTGTTTTAATAGAAAAGCAGGGATGTGGAGGGAGGGAGGAGTTTTTTTTCCCCACATGATGTGATTCATACTCTCTCTACATTGTCTTCTCAGAATCACGCTGTGACTGCATCTGTCCTGCTGGATTCCAAGGCCCAGCCTGTGAGGTCACCTACCGGAAAAGTAAGGAGTCTTTGAGAGTTGGTTGGAAGAGGGAAGTCTAGGGAAGTCCAGAGAACAATTCATAAGAGCAAGAGCAAAGCTAGGGCATGGGGTTGGGAGCTGGACACTGTGAAACTTGAGATCCATCCTGACGCTTGATTTTATATTTTATTTTTACAACTGAGAGTGGTGTGTGTTACAGGACTACTGATGCATTGCATCTGCAAGTCATCTCTTTGGATCATTCTGGAATGTTTACCTTCTTTTTTTTATTTACTGAACCCCTATTCAGTCCTCAAAATCCAACACAGGTGCCCCTTCTTCTGTAAAAATGCCTCTAACCCACCCCCCACCAAGGAGAATTAGTTCATTCTCCTGTGGGATCCCATAGGACTTCGAACACATGTCTATCATAGCTCTTAGCATATTCTGTTTTGGGTTATGTGTGTGCCCCTCCCCTGTGTCTGCGAGCAGGGATCATGTCCCATTTATCTCTGGGTCCTCACAGTCCCACAGAGTTGCTGCTATTGAATTAACAACTGAAAGACTAGACTATCTTCCAGCTCTCATATTCTTTAGCCAGTTTATTATCTAAGAGTTCTCAACACCCCGACACTCCTCCCCTTTCTTTTCCTCTCTGGGATGTTTTTTGGTGATACCATCAAAGAAGGAAATGGCACAACCAATGAAAGCAACAAATATTTATTAAACACTTTACTGTGTACCACGCACCTTGCTGAAGGCTTGGACTCAGCTGGGGTTCAAATTCTATCTCCATTTAACGGTTGTGACCTTGAGCAAATTACTTGACCTCTTTGTGCCTCAGTTTCCTCATCTGTAAAATGGAGATGATATAAACTACCTCACAGAGTTGTCTTGAGTCTCTCCTGAGACATATAAAGCTCTTAGAATGATACCTAACACATCGTAAGAGCAAAATAAGTATCGGTTCGTATGTTTTAGAGCAAAATAGTGTTCCTTTGTATCTTACATATATTAAATCCTTTAATCCCCCCAGCAACCTATGAAGACAATCTTGTCAATATCTCCATTCTACAGATGAAGAAACTGAGGTTCCGTGGGAGGCTAACCAGCTTGCCCAGTGGCCACATGGTTAGTAAGTGTAGGGCCCCAGGTTCAGGTCCAGGGTCTGACTCTCCAGCTTTTGCTCTCGGTGACAGTGCTGCTCCCTTCCCCAGCAGGATGCTCAGAAGTGTCTTCACTCTCCTCCTCCATCTCAGCCAGACCCAACACAGTGGCCAGCCAGAATGAGGGTAGTGGCCCAGTCACAGCATCTCTATTGGTTGGAGGAGACTTGGGAGACCTCCCACTCCAGCTGTCTCATGTTACAAATACGGAGGCCTGGAGACATGAAGTACCCAGAATGGCACTGTGCATTAGGCTCAGCCAGACACACGATATGTCATGGTGGACACTGTTGATTGTTTGCCAGTCTCATCAACAACCAAAAGTCCTCAAGGGAAAGGCAGATGTCGGGGAGTGGGGAGCACAGTGTGATTACCTCATTTAAAACACGCAGCAATCACAGTGGATGACGGAGCTCCCATTTTCTACATGGAGCAGGAGTGAACTATCCAGCATCCTATAACTGGGAATGGTCTAAGCTGGAAACTTCATTTACTCAACTCATACTTACTCAGGGACCCCCATGTGCCAGTTTAGGTGCTGGGTTCAGGGGTGAGCAAGCCAGATACAGTTCCTGTCATCATGGAGACTGTGCTTTAGAAAGATCATCACCATTCGAATTGTTCCAAAAACACATTTAAAGTTCCCATCATAACTGCTACAAAATGCCCTGAGACCTTAAAATATGAAGTATTGATGGCGAGTTAAGTGTCAGGAAAGGTTTCCCTGCAGAAATAACACTTAAACTGAGATCTGAAGGGTGAGTAGGATTGACCAGATGAATAGAGGACAGGAGAGTATTCTGGGTCAGGGAACAGCATGTGCAAAGGCCCTGTGGTAGAAGGGAGCATGGCGAGGCAATGGCCTGAAAGGAGGACAGTCGGCTGGAGTGGGGAGATCAGAGATACAGACTCCTAAACCCTTAGGGTTTAAACGCCTCACCCCTTCTATAGGGCACCAGAGTGTAATAAGGGCTAATTAATGTTCACTGACCTTCTTTCTTATAGATGTCCCCACTGATGGGAATTGGAATTGCTGGTCAGACTGGTCTCCATGTTCTGGAGGACATAAAACAAGACAGAGGCAGTGCAACAATCCACCTCCTCAAAATGGGGGCAACCCCTGCTTGGGTCCCGCTTCCGAGACACTTAACTGTTAAGGAAGGGAGAGCTCCTAGCAGGTAATGCTGCTGTGGGCTGTGCACAGCGAGAGCCCTGAGCCCTCGGGAGCCCAGGCCAGCTCCCAGCCACCACCAGCTCCCACCTCGGGCTGGCCCAAGGGTGGAAGGCTGTGCCATTCAGAATGTTTAAAATAAAGATGTTGTTGGTAAAATGCACATTGATTGGAACAAAGAGTAAGTTCAACAGTCATTGTCTCCTTGAGGGCTTAAGCATCTTGATCATCTGTGCTTTGCTCACCTGTACAGTTTTATTTCACTTATATTTGCTTCCAGCCGGGAGCTGTTTAAGGAGTTGTCTACATGGAAGTCCCACTGTCTCCCAGTGATCAGCACACAGTAGGTGCTCCAGGATGAATCCTTGAGCAGACAGTGAGCTCTTCCTGTCTAGGGGAGCACCCTGTCTTGCTCCGTGACAATGGCAGTTCATATTTATTGAATGATTACTGTGTGCCGGCCACGGTGCTCAGTGCGTTAACTCATTCCATCCTCATGAAGACCTTATCAGGTGGATGCAGTATTAGCCCTGTTAAACAGCAGGGGAACCGACTTAGAACCGTTAAGTGACTTGTCCAAGGGTACGCAGCTAGGGAGTAGGTGAGCTGGACTGCAAACCAGGGCACTCAGTTTCCAAAGTTTTTTTTTCCCTCACATTTTATAAATAAATAAATAAATACATAAATAATTGAAGTGTAGTCAGTTTACAATGTTGTGTCAATTTCTGGTGTACAACACAATGCTTCAGTTATATAGGAACATAGATAAATTCATTTTCATATTCTTTTTTCACCAAAAGTTACTATAAGATAGTGAATATGGTTCCCTGTGCTATACAGTATAAACTTGTTGTTTATCTTTTTTTTTATATATTCATTAGTAGTAGGCTCCAAAATTTTAAACTCTTCACTCGGATGACCCCTTCCTCTTAATAAATGGGCATTTGATTAACAGAGAATTTTTCATGAAATGTAGAAGGTGCTGTGTGATTGACAGATCCCCGCCCGCTGCATCTGAGGAGAGTGGATTGGGCTTCCTCAGCTCCTTGGGATGCTGAGCACAGGAAGGGAGCGGTGGTGTGTGTCGGAAGCAGGAGTTCTGGGGCAGAGCTGAATTGTGACATGAGCGGGTACCCAGCGAAGATCCTGAGCTGGAGACAAGAGCAGGGGAAACCGATCACTGAACGAGAGACGGTTTAAAAAGAAAGAAAAAAAAGAGGACAGGTTGTGATGGCTGGAAGAGGAAGCACGTCAGGAGAAGTTCACGTTGGTGGCTGTGGGTCAGTGGGCAGTGTAAACCTTCCCCACCTCTGTACGTCCTGCTCTGCTCACTCGTGCTTTTGTGCAAATTGCATTTTGGGGGAGAGAGATGTTTGAAGGGGAGATGAGAGGGCCTTGACCTTTATGTTACTAAAAACCAAAGTATTTTTTATTTTTTAGCTTGAGGCAAGTGATTGTTTAAGCTTTATTGCTCTCATTCACTCCATCTCTTAAAACATCCCTTAATATTTTCCTTGCTCTTGGGCGCTTCCTGTCCAACGGCGTAACTTCATGTGAATTTGTTGAAATCACGTTGGTGGGGGCGGGGAAAACTGTCAGCTGAAGGTGAATTGGTTCATCCTGCTCGTTTTCAACTACTTTGTTTTCGGCCACGTCATCCGCTTTAAGTCTGCCGCTGTGGGTGCTGGGACCCGAGACCTAACACATCCGGGACATCCAAGCATCGGTCACCAACACCCGCCAGTCTGGCCGGCCAGCTCTCTGGAACTGAGTCACTAGACCCACCCCAGAAGGAGCTGGCTCTTTCCTGCTCGAGGGTCGCTGTGGCAAGCATGGCGATCCTGTCTGCCTTCCTGCGTCCCCAAGTCCCCAGCAATTGAGCTGATGGGTCTGGGCCCTTGTTTGGTTTAATATTATTGCTTTGCCGTCTGCTGTTATTTCAACAGGCTAATCCAATAATGTTTTATCTCTTTCATTATACCGAGGCCGTATAATTTTCTTGCGTTATAATCTGTCTTCTTTTAAGATCCCCCAGAGACGGGGGAGAGCGGTTCTGTCTTTAGTTGATGGGAGGCTCCCAGGAAGCCGGCACTAGCACGTCGAAGCAAGAGCCGCCAAATTAAATTCTGAATCTCAATCACAGCCACCGCTTCTAATGGGAAATTTGAGTTGATTATGGAGATGACAGCCCAGGTTCGTGTTTATTGCATTTAGCAGAAATTGTTTATCCGATTAAATATGGTCTTGAAGGAGAGACAATTGAATTGCGGAGCACCGGTGAATACCCGGGTGATGCCCAGGCACTGCTAAACTGTGTAATAATCATATTCTTATTTGTGGGCTGAACTTCCCCTCGTGGCTCTTTTTGCAAACAAATGGCTGCAACATAATGTAAGAATTAAACAAAATAAATGCAAACTGTGCTTTTGGAAAACCTTGGCCAAACTGTAGCTAGGCATCGGCATACCGGTGAAGGAGCTGTGGTACCTGTGGGACATGGGCCAGGCGGTAGAGGTTGGCCGTGGTCCTGGCAGCTGGAACCCAGCTCAGGCTCGCTGGATGTGGGAGGGTTTTGCATGCAAGAGCATGAATCTCTGAAATGCTGGTAGCCCCGCCGTGTGCTTGATGTCAGGGCGGGAGCTCTGTGTCTGCACTTCCTCCCTGTGTGACCTGGGGGTACTAACAGAACTTCTGTGGGAATAATAAGTGTTATAATTATTTTAACAATAGCAATAATAATAATAGCTGCCAATTATAGAGCGGGGCTCGTTTATGAAGTCTTTTAACCTGCATTACCCTATTTAATCTTTATTTGAATTTGATGGGGTAGATATTAATACAATCATCAGATGACACGTAGGGAAAGCTTCAGAGGGAGACGTGCTTCTTACCAGGGGTGGGCTGACTGTGGAAGTCAAGGGGGGATGCTGAGGTGGGAGAAAGGGCATCTGCTGGCAGAGCATCCAGAGGAAAATGTCATCTTGGTTTTAAAGAAGAGAACTCTGGCCTGCTCCCAGGCACTTAGATAAAAAAGCCCTCTGGAGAGAGTGGGGCAGAAGCAGGACGGCCCCGGGACACCGGCCAGGTCTCGTGATCAGCATCTGTATTTTTTTTTAAAGGAGGTGCTGAAGATTGACGAGGTACCAGGACCTTGTTCATGTTAAACTAAGCGTGCGCTGTACCACTGAGCTATTTCCCTCCCCGTGATCATCATCTTGATGGACAGATATTTTGTTTTACAGATTGAAGATATCCTAATGGCAGTATGTCTATTTGCCAATGTTTCCGGGCTCTGCAGACGTTGTATTATAATTTACTTGCTTATTGTCTCCTAGTCTTTCTCAAGCATCGTGTCCTGGAAGGCAGAGATAGTGTCTGTCTACTGCACTCATGTACCCCAGGTACTCAGTACAGGGCCTGGCACAAGCAAGCAATGATATATCATTGTTGCATGAATTAACGAACTAATGAAAAGGGACGTGAGCAGGGCCAAGGGCAGAACCTTCTTAGGCAGGTGAGAAGCTTTAGTAAATTGGTGGTTTATGATGGTGGCATCATGAGATTTGGGGTGCAGCCACCTTGAGATAGAGGCAGACACACAGCAAGGACCGGGGGAGGCACATTCAGCCAGCTCTGTGGGCAGCAGCACAAAAGATGAGTGAGACAAAAGACGCACAAAAATAGCTGCTGTCAGGTAGGGGCTGAAGGTACTTGTTAGGGGAGTTGTGACACCCCCTGGGGACCACCAGAAGTCTTCAGGGAAACTGTGCAGAGGGAGGGAGCAGAAAGCGGTTGTCACTGGTGGGATAACCTGAGAAGCACATTTACAGGGGGAGGAAGAAACCGAGGCTGAAGAGGGTTTGAAAGCCCGCCCAGTGCGCAGCAGAGGGAAGATACGAATAAAGAAGAACTTAGAGGGAAAAATGTCTTCCAGCGTTCTGCCTTCACCGCATTTCTCATTTATGGATTGAGTTGCAATCTGTCATGACCACCTATACCCTAACAGCAGCACACTGAACCAGTGCACTGTACATCTTTGGGAGTCCCTGTTTACGGAATGTTGTCACAAAACCAGATTTTTCTATAGGATGTCGTCTTCTTGGAGTTGTCTTTCAGGAATGTTAATTCCAAGGTTGAGAGATGCGGGATTCAGAACTCGGGTGGATCTGCCGCGATACCTGGCAGGGGAGGTAGGGGCGCATCACAGCCTCTTGGGTAGAACCGGAAACACAGGCGAGGAGGCCGAGGGGCATCGTGCTCAGAAGTGTGCGCTCTGGTGCCACACCGCTGTGTTTGTGTCCTGGCCCGGCTCCATGACTTACCGGTTTTGTGGCTTTGCACAAGTTCTGCACCCATCTGTGCCCCTGTTTCCGCATCTGCAAGATGGGGCTGGTGATGGCAGCGTCCTCCTGGGGGTTGGAAGATGGGAACTAACCAAGCTCAGGCACGTGCCTGGACCAGTCAGCCCACCACAGTGTCCCAGACATCCTTGCTTCTGGGGAGTCTCAACACATCAACAAGAACTACGGTTTGTATGTTTGGTTTTCTAAAGTTGTTTAAAACTGCTTTAAACTGGCTTAGTACATTGCAGTACTAAACCTACTCTTAACAGAAGGGAACAAGAAAGACATAAAATAGCTTAGCTCCTAGGGGATGTCTTAATAAAGGACAGGGAAGGCTTTTATATCCCAATCTCTGGGTTATTAAGGGAAAATGTAACAGCATAATAACTAATATTTGCAGAGGGCATTACCAGTTACAAAGAACTTTCACATACCTAATCCAGCTTAATCCTCTCAATGCCTGCAAGAGGAAGGATTTATTATCTGCCTTTGACAGGTGATGAGACGGAGCCTCGGAGAGACTGAGCGAGTTGCCCAAGACCACACAGCTCGAAAGTGGTAGAAAGGCCTCAGTCCAGGGCAGCTGCTCGCCTGCTTCCCACCGCAGCAGAATCAGGACCAATTCCATCCCCTGCCAGGTGCCTGCCTGCTTGCATAGAAGAGACAGAAAGGGCCCGGGGCAGGCATCCCTGCAGTGGAGAAGCAGAGCCGTTTAGAAGGCTTTGGGGTGGACAGACACATGTCAGACCCCATGCCACCACTTCCTAGCTGAGCAGCCTTGATCATGTCCCTTCTCCTCTCTGAGCTTCAGTGTCC